AAAATATTAAATTTTTGTAATTTAATATTTTCGAAATCAATTTAAATGGCTTTTTATAACTTATTGAGATTTAACTAATATATTTTGGAAATAATGATTTATAAATTTTGGAAATTTTATTTCCAGGTTTATAAATGTTGAAAATAATTACTGGAAGTTGAAATTTAATTTTCATGATTTTTGCAAAATTGTTTCAAAATTTTAATGGCCTTTTGAATATAATTTTGCAAAAGGGCATTTTGGTCATTTGGAATATTCTGGATTTTTTTTTATGCTGGCAGAATATCCAGAGTATGTAAAATGATTTTATAAAATTTTATTAGATTTATTTGGACATCTAATTTAATTTTATGAGTTTTAGAAAATATTTACTGCCGTAGTATTTTTCTAGAACTGTCTGGGGTGAGCGCGGTTCACCCGGTGTATGTATATCTCTATTGCTTGTGTGGGTGTATGATATGCATGGTGGATGATTGTGGCTATAGTTTATTTGATTATAATACGGCCTGCGTGTCGTGCCTTATCTCTTAAACTCTTGTTGTAAATCTATTTCTCTCTTACCTCAACCGAGGATTCTTTTCTCACGTGGTGGTTAGAAGACGAAAAGATTTGATGACCATTTGGAGAAATCTAAAAGAATGGAGATAGCCCGAAGTTCAAATGCCCGAAAGCCAGTGGGAGCTATCGTTTTATTTTTCTTTTAGGGGCCACAATCATTACACGTTTATTTACTGCGTTTTGTGAATGCATGTTGAATGTATGTTGAACGCTAGTAATGTACATGTGCGCGGCCATGTCGATAGGTGAGATCGAAATTATAAATCCCTCACGAATATTAAGTCTGTTGCCTTCTGACGCCCGGCACCTATCCGACTAATGTGCACTGTCATGTACTCAGCCTCAGCAGAGCATAGTACGGTGTATGTTAAGCTGGTTACGGGAACCGCCATAGCGTGGTCGCTGTCGCACGTTGGGTTAGACTTAACTGAGTCTCGGTCAAATGGATGGACGACTCAGAGGCAGTAAATTGGGGTCATCAATGACAAGTCGGATGATTTTACTCACTCATCCAGCCAGGAGTTGGATCTTTATGATTTAAATGGAACTCTGTTCCTAACCAAAGTAGTCTGCTTGTAAGACGTGCCTCAGCCAATTACAAGTATGGTGAAAAGGTGTCCTGTTCCGGTTGTAGTAATATTGTTTGCCCAACACCAGACCAAGAGCTGAGAGTCCGGCTCATCAGTTGGAACTATGTTCCTACCTAAATAGTTGTCTTGTGGAGTAACGCCTAAGCGGAACGCAAGATAATGAAATATGGATCTTGGCCCACTAGAGTTTTCGCCGGAAATCTCCGAATCAATATCGAGGGTTATTGATTTGTTAAAAATAGTGGGAGATAATTAATTAAAGGCCTAATTAATTATTAAACATGATAGATAACCTAGTTTGCAAAATTTTCTGTAGATGGCAAACAACAACAACCCTTTCAACCTGCGTTACATCCTGGAAAACAACAAGTTATCCGGGACCAACTTTCTTGACTGGGAGATGAANCACATCTGTACTTCTATGCAGAACTTGCATGAATGTAGACAATTGACGGAGGGAGAGATACAACTAAAAGTCGGCAATGGCGCACTCGTCTATGCATTGGCCGTCGGAACCTATAGTTTATCTCTACCTAGTGGTCTTATATTGCATTTGAATAATTGTCTGTTTGTACCTAGTATGAGCAGAAACATCATTTCTGTATCCTGCCTTGACAAAGCAGGATTTTCGTTCGTTGTAAAAGACAAAACTCTTTCTGTCTTTAGAAATGATATATTTTATGCAAGTGCAAAAATGACCAACGGTCTCTATGTCCTTGACATGGATACCGCAATATATAACGTTGATGTTAAGAGAAACAAACCTAACAGTTTGAATCTCGCGTACCTTTGGCATTGTCGTTTGGGCCACATTAACGAGAAACGCATATCTAAGTTACATCGTTCCGATGTACTTGATTCATTTGACTTCCAGTCATATGATGTATTTAAATCTTGTTTACTTGGTAAAATGACAAAGGCTCCATTCACCGGTCACGGTGAAAGGGCGAGTGACTTATTGAGCCTCATACACTCTGATGTTTGTGGTCCAATTAACACTGTAGCTAGAGGTGGTTATTCTTACTTCGTTACATTTACTGACGACCTTAGTAGATATGGATATGTGTATCTCATGAAACACAAATCGGAATGCTTTGACGAATTCAAAGAATTCAAGAACGAAGTAGAAAAACAATTAGGCAAAAGTATTAAGACCCTCCGCTCGGATCGAGGAGGTGAATACTTAAGCCTAGAGTTCGATGACTATCTGAAAGAGCATGGGATCTTATCCCAACTCACTCCTCCGGGGACACCTCAGTTAAATGGAGTGTCTGAGAGGAGAAATCGGACTTTGCTAGACATGGTCCGGAGCATGATTAGTCTGACAACATTGCCAGAATCATTTTGGGGATATGCATTGAAAACAGCAGCACACACACTCAACAGAATTCCATCTAAAGCTGTCGAGAGCACACCATACGAACTATGGCGTGGGAGAAAACCGAGTTTCTCGTACTTTAAGATTTGGGGCTGTGAAGCTTATGTAAAACGTCTCATGACGTCTAGTAAGTTGGAGCCTAAATCTGATAAAGTAATTTTTGTGGGATACCCCAGGGAAACTAGAGGGTATGAGTTCTATTATCCATCCGATAACAAAATTTTCGTTGCTCGGAATGGAACCTTCCTTGAGAAGGAGTTTCTTTCTGCTATCACTAGTGGGAGAAAGGTAGACCTCAAAGAAATTCGAGAACCACAAGAAGAAGTCCCGATAGTGTTGGAACATGAGCAAAGAGATCAAGCAATTGAACCTCAAATTTGCTCAAGATATACCACGTAGGTCAGACCGGATACGTAATCCTCCGGTCAGATATGGATTTCTCATGTCTGATGAAGGTGACGTCTTGTTGGTAGATCAAGGCGAACCAGAGACCTACCTCGAGGCAATTACATGCCCCGAATCTGATCTATGGCTTGAAGCCATGAAATCTGAAATGGAGTCTATGTACACAAACCAAGTCTGGACCTTGGTTGATGCGCCCGAAGGGGTAAATCCCATTGGATGCAAGTGGGTCTTCAAAAAGAAGATAGACGTAGACGGGAAGATTCATACCTTCAAAGCTAGATTGGTAGCAAAAGGTTATAGACAAATCCACGGAATTGACTATGATGAAACCTTTTCTCCAGTTGTTATGCTGAAATCCATTCGGATAATGCTTGCGATTGCAGCCTATTATGATTACGAAATTTGGCAGATGGACGTCAAGACGGCTTTCCTTAACGGGAACCTTAAAGAGGATGTCTTCATGACACAGCCTGACGGTTTTCAAATTGCTGGTCAATCTGCCAAAGTTTGTAAGCTGCAACGTTCAATCTACGGATTGAAACAAGCATCTCGGAGTTGGTACATACGCTTCGACAAAACCAATTCCAGTTTTGGTTTTGAGAAGAACTCTGACGAATCTTGTGTATACAAGAAGGTCAGTGGGAGTGTAATAGTATTCCTAATATTATATGTCGATGACATATTGTTAATGGGTAACGATATTCCTGCTCTCACTTCTGTAAAGACGTGGTTGAGCGAGAACTTCTCCATGAAAGACTTAGGGGATGCTAGTTATGTCCTTGGCATAAGAATCTACCGAGATAGATCAAGAAAGTTAATAGGTCTGAATCAAAGTACATATATAGATAACATCCTTGATCGATTTAGCATGTCTAACTCAAAGAAAGGATCTTTACCTATGACACATGGCACGGTTCTTTCCAAGAGCCAGAGTCCTTCTACTCCTGAGCAGAAGGAACTCATGATGAAGGTTCCATACACTTCTGCGATTGGATCCATCATGTACGCCATGATATGTACTAAACCTGATGTCTCATTCGCTTTAAGCGTGACCAGCAGATACCAGGGAAGTCCAGGAGAAGCACACTACACTGGACAGCGGTCAAGAACATCCTTAAGTATCTTCGCAATACTAAGGATGCATTCCTGGTATACGGTGGTGAGGAAGAGCTAAAAGTGGTCGGTTACACTGATGCTAGCTTCTAAACCGACAGAGACGATTCAAAATCACAAGCAGGATATTTGTTTTGCCTGAATGGCGGAGCTTTTAGCTGGAAGAGCTTCAAGGAGGACACAACCGCCGATTCGACTACAGAGGCTGAGTACATAGCTGCCGCCGAGGCAGCTAAAGAAGCTGTTTGGATCAAGAAGTTCATTACTGAACTTGGAGTGGTTCCTAGTATTAATGACCCTATCTCGTTGTTTTGCGACAACACTGGGGCCATTGCACAGGCAAAGGAACCCCGATCTCACCAGAAAACCAAACATATTGTACGACACTATCACATCATACGAGAAATCGTAGATAGAGGAGATGTGATGATTTGCAAAGTAGATACTAACGACAACATAGCCGATCCCCTGACCAAGCCTTTAGGAAAGCTAAAGCATGAGGATCACACTAGGTCCATGGGCATTCGACCAATTCCAGATTGGTCATAGTGCAAGTGGGAGATTGTTGGAGTTGTGCCCTGATGGCCAACTGTTTATCGTTGTTCTATCATGTTATAGGCAGATATAATATGTTTACACATCTCATGCTAATGTAAACAAATATTATATTCCTAGATTTATATTTAAAAGATGTTTATCAGATAGTGTTCTTCTGCTGATGAGACTAACATCTTGAAATAAATATTTATCTATATGTCCATAGTCGAGTATTAACGAGAGTGGGATATCGTTAATGCATGTGAGACTAGTGTGTGTTGGATGTTTGACTTAGTCTCATAGTCAATGACGGTGTGTTCGCATCCGCACATGGGCAGATATTATCTAGAGATAATAGGATGCCGGACTGACCCATTCTAAAGATGTTGCTTGAACTTTTAGTTCATGCTCTAAGCATCTTTAGCGCGACCACGGGTGTAACTATCCTTCGACTTGAAGTATTACGTTTTCTGCATATGTGAACCCACATGCTTTGATGCATTGTCCTAAGCCATATGAAATAAGGATGGTATACAGGCTTTGTTTTGGGTATGCCGCAGCGCGTATTCAGAAACGTAGATTACGTACATAGGATTTGTCACTACTCTTTTTAAAGAGATTAATGTCTTATGGGGCCCACTGATAAGTCATGACTGAGGAAAGTGCATGGCCATGCTGAGATGCTTTTATGACGTCTGTTCCTATTAGTCAGACTTGATAAATCAGTGAATGACTTAATGGATACAAG